GTTAATATCGGCAGTCGACCTTTTCGACTGCATAACTCAGCAACAAAAGCGCGTCAATGATCCAAACTTGGTACGAAGGATTGTCATTTGCAACACTAAATCTTAGATATAGAATAATTAAATGATGTTTTATCGTACGCTCAGGAAGCTTGTCCGATTATACATGGTGTCCGACCTTTGATGAGCTACTCTAACACGTATATACAAAGAATTTGGGCATGTATAACTAAAGATGGGCCTGTAGAAGACTGCTAGTGCAATAGCGAGTCGTTCTCGCCGTGGTTTGCACATGAGGTTTGACCTGCGCCATTCAAAATCTCTTGATTCGGCTTCTCACTCTACCGGTGTTTTTCAGCAGCTCTGCTGCGCGCATGCACCATTCTGCCCAAATTGACACACCCACTTCCATTCCGCGCATGCGCACTAGGGGCGATCTGTCCCGTAGAGACCTACACACGGCCTCTGTGCTTGCCTATCCACCTGCCGAGACATTTATGACATGACTCACTCAAACTCACTTTAAATATTTTTTTGTACTGAAAGGGTAGATAAAAAGGACAACAAAGCTCCGACCGCCACACCCAAGTGCCGACTGACCACTTCTGAGGGTGCGTGGGTGGTTTTTACAAGATAATGCCGTCCGCCTACTGGGTTAAAGTTGGCAATTGTGCGAGTTTTTTCTAGATGTGTGTAAATTTACATTTTGTGACTGAAAGGGTTTAATTAAAAGACCGTCTACCGATGCTCTAATACCTAACCTATGTTACGTACATATGCATACAAAATTATAGCAGTACAGACCTGTCAGTCAGCACTCCAGTAGACAGTCGATAGTATCTTTGTACTTGAGTTAATTAAATGACTAAAATACAGGAGAGTAAAACAAACAACCTCAGCAGATTGACCACATGCAACTTAGGGCTACACATCATATGAGTATATAAAATAAGGTTAGTTGGTATAGATAAGTTGCACGTGTGGTTCTAGTCGTACACATACATAGCAGCCTTGGGTACCCTTACTTAGCAGCATCAGTGAGCAGTATTTCAAGTATTGGTCGTCACAAAAACTTTGTGCACCCATATGGTGCACGGAATAGGGTCTGGGATATTGCTCTCTAGCAATTTTCACTTACATACATATGCATCGCACAATACCTCTCAAATGCTGTCTTTCAGGAAAACAGACTGTTTGATATCCAACTAATGCCTTAAATTATAATTCTAGTAGGTGGCTTAGAGCTAAGGCTATGATAACAGTAGCGACATGGTTTTAAGTTACTCAATATAATATAGTATGTTCAAGGGAAGGCGTGGTATATCCTTCTTTGGCTGCTTCGTCACTTCAGACACACAGACAGACAAACAAGTACCCCTTGCTGAGCATATGCACCGAAAGCTTGAACAACAAACCCAAATCATGAAAGAAAAAAACATGCAACATTGAACATAACAATCTGAAGGATACTGTCTCAATGTTATTGGCACACCGATTTTTTCCATTCGGACACTATTAAGAACCCGCAGATGGTGGCACATCTCCACAAATTCGTTCACAACTTCTGACGAAATTTCAGGCCCAAGAAAACCTTTTCCAAAACGTGCTGACTTTAAAAGAGCACAAACAAAGAATGAAGAGGGCAGGCAAACATTACTAAATTTAGGTCTGCTTTTCCCTCCCCCAGTTAAAAGTAGGGGTATTGAAACATAATATTATAATGTCCGTCCCAAACATCACATAATGTTTTTGGTGGAATTAGTGCTGTATTCATGTAAACTTCTGGGACATGCTGCGGCAAACCGCATTTGCCCTTGCAAATGTCCCAGCAAAGTAACTCCAGAGTATAAGCTCTGGAAGGAACTGGTAAACTTAAACAACTAAAAGCGCAATTATTCTGCTCAGGAAATTTCTACTTGACATGGCAAATGCGGGATTCACTTTAATTTGCCGCAGCGATTTCCCTGGTTCGCTTGCTGGTATTCTTGCCACTATTTTTTGCTGCGACACCAGCACTCGCAGCAATTGCACAGACATACCATAAAAATTGGTGTGTGAATGCGCTTGCTTCCAAGGTATTTTTCTCTGTTTATCTTTCTTTGAGCTGCCTCACGACGGCTACCTTAGGACGAAGTAACGTAGCAGGTTTATACTCCAAAAACCTTCGAGAGTGCAGGTATTGGTTCGGATGTAAAATACGCAATTGTAGACCTACACTTTTGCCAACTACTATTATGTATTGAGTAGTTTAAGTACAAAAGACAAAGACTAAGAGCTAACCTCCTTGAATTTAACTGTGAATAGCTCTTGCTGAGTTACATAAGTCGCTCAAGGCCTGCTGTAAGCATGAAACTTACGCATGCACATACTGTGATACAAGGTGCAAGAAGCCAAAACACTGTATAAACCGGGTATTAAAACTTCATGTATCTAACTGTACACAATTTCGCACAGGTTTGCCGTAGCGCGCACACACACACTGTGTGATCAGCCATGGGAAGCCGAATTGCCATGAATTTCTGCATCAAAATACAGGCGGCACTACCAGGAAGCAAACCAGCACGCACGTGTCTTGTGGTAAATGGAAGTGAACTGGGGCAATTGCTGTGGCAAATTAACTACGGGAAGAATACGGGGGTTCCAGTGTGCCAGTTCCTGCTGAAGAAGATGCTTCAAATGTTACTTTGCCAGGCCAATAACCCTGGCAAACACAGTTTACCATGGCAAATGGATCAGAAATGCACGATATGAATTCTCACACTTGTTCCATCCCACACTAATTTAGCTTATATGGCAACATAGCTGACTATGCACACAACACAGAAAAACAAATCTTGCATTAACCACTAACTGAAAAAGCCTTTAAGTGGTATTGCTATTTTTTGGGTTTCGTTGCACGTGGTGCCAGAAAACATGGTAATAGCGTACAGATAGACATACTCACAAACCTACCGTAACCCTCGCTGTGCACGTACGCTGAGGTTTAACAGTAATGCACTGCTATATTACTTTAACACTGAGTTGTTACATCCAAGGCCATTTAACAGATGATAGCTTGACATTGCCTGTGCTTGCATAGTCGTGCTGTTGGCTTTGCCTTTGCCTTGGGATGTCATCTGTGTCATGCAAGTGACCACGAATTATTTAAATAAACTTGAGGCAGCTGGCTTCAGCTTTGGGACGACAAATTCATGTTATCCATATGTTTGTCTTGAGATGTTGCTAAAGACATGCAAGTAAACACGACCTATTTTAGCAAATTTGAGGCAGCTAGGTTCAGCTTTGGGAGGCTGATTCACTGTTATCCTTGTGTCTTACACGTAAAAAAATACAGATCTTGATTCTATACCGAATTAGACTGACTAACTCTAAATTGAAACTGTATGCACAATTGTGGGAAGTGAAAAAACACAGCAGCAGTCTGTGCACAGCATGATTTTTGGTCTTCTCTCTCAGTTTTTTCTCGTGTGGGTTGAAGCATACATATCAAACAATCTTACCCTCAATAGACTTTGTTGTAATGCTGGTTCGAATTCTTCTCCTGCTGCCTTAATACACTGCAATATAGCATCAGGCAGTTTATCTTTTATAAATCTAATGTATTCATCGGCTTTATGACTTTCGTCTCCCTAAAAAAGATTGTTAAAGGTAAGTTTTATACCTGGTATCCAATCTAAGAGATATGTAACAGAGACAGGAAATGTTCTGAGCTACAAATTATAATTTTGTGGAGGGTCCTGTTATATAGATGGTGAAGTAAAAAAGGGACCAGTTTAATTTCAGCTGAAAACCAAACAGTTTTTTAAAAGGGGAAAGTTTATTTTGGCAAGGGATAAAAATAATTTTGTTTGGTTTTCATCAATGGAGAAAAGAGCAATCAACAGCCAACACACATCTAATCTCAAAACAAGGAAGGCCAGGGCTTTCGCACAAGTGATATCAGAACCCTTTATGAATGTGACAACAGTTTACACATGCCTGCCCAGGTATACCATCCGTAATGCTTAAAAGGTTTTCTCTGATTATACATGCACAGAAGACCTCTGCCTACAGGCTGCAATGATTTTTGAGAGACAGAGGGAAAGGGAAGAAAAGAAAAATGGGCACTATGGAATTTTATACACAAAACACAAATGCCCAACGAGTGTACGTCTTCCATTTCTGGGCCACTCTGATAAACATGTGATATAATATTAACATAATTCTTCAATGTTTTGCTGATTAACCAACCACATTTACAGTAGGAGTCAAAAAAGGTTTCCAGTTTCGTTCCGTTCCTTTCCGTTTGCCGTTCACTATCGTTCCGTTCCGTTCCGTTTCCGTTCAGTTTCCGTTCAGTTGTGAATTCCGCGTGACATGCCCTCTGCAAACGCGGTAGAGACTCACTAGCGGGGGAGCGAAACAAGGTTTTTCTTAGCGCAAACGCGAAACAAGAAAGCAGTACCCATGTAGGTGCTAGAAGAAATATCTTCACAGTGAGGCCTTCGCATCTCACGAATAACGGCCCTCGCCCGAACGCCACTAGTCCGTGTGACCAAACACTATCTTGCAATTACATGCAGCGGCGTTATTCTGCGTCATATGCAGAGGTGTATTCTATTTGGCATAAGAATAGTCATGGACACTTCTAAGCATTATGTATTTTTCTATGCAGGGGCTACGCCCATTTTTGCAACGGCTCTAACACACCTGCGAAAAACCGTAACACACTGACAAAACAACTACATAATGGCAAAGAACCGCCTGCTCCCCACAAACTCATGCACTGGTTATCTCTTAAATAGATGATGGAGGAATATGAACGAGCTAAAACACGGTCTGAGAAAAATATTAAAAGTCACTGTAAATTAGCCATGCTATCAAAACAATGACGCCCACACTCAGAAATAGAACCTCTAGCTTGATTTGGAACTTGCATAGCAGTACAATATTCTAGGCAATGAAAGCATTAGCCACGCAAATATTGTTTTCTGCACTGTAGACTAAAGTGGTAGGTGCAATCTCTAGGAGTAAAGTTTCCCTAATTCATTTATAAAAAGCCAATGACGTGCCCCCAAGCCCTGACTTCAGTATATACTTAAACCTTAATCAGTGAGTGCACGTTAGCAGCTGAAGCTGACATCCGGCAAAACTAACGACAAACTATGATACATTCATTGCCTTGTAACTTAATGAAGTCTAGGAGCGTAACTCCTAAAACACAGAGATCTTTGTTTGTTTGTAAGCCCCGTCAAAATATATTCTGCGAAAATCATTAGGCTAAAGGGTGTCTCCAAACCTTGTAAATTCACCAGCAATTTTTGTCATAAGTGTGATAAAAATAATCAGCAATATGCTATTATACTGATGTATTAACAGGAACATTTACCAGGGGTGAAAAGTACACTTCTGCTGCCATAACTTTGTAAACCAATGCTAACCCTTAGCTTTAAACATAGAAGTTGTTAAGAAATACACTTTCCTGCACTTTTCCATGATAGGTGCAGTAAAGTGTACAGGAAATTGTGCCCTGTACTGTTTTGTAGGAAATTTTTCAGTGCAAGTGCAAAGGTTATTCTTCCCATTGGGATCGGCTCTTTCGAATCCACTAATATGTGTGTGTGTGTTGTTCAAAAGATAATTGTAACAGAGAGATGAGACAGTCGTGCAAAGTTGAGGTTAGTTTGTGGTGTCTGCAGTAAGCTACAATTAGACACACGTCACCATTTATAACTCCACCATACACCACTAACCCATAGATAATGGAATGTGTTAAGCAGACAGCACATGTACATAAGAAGTACGTTGTGCAAGTAAAACCTCAACCTTTTTATAACTGCCTGCAGTACCATCCTTCTTTCCCAGATGAATCTGACACAGAATGCTGCAAACCTGAACATCTACTACCAAAGTATCAAGCAGAAAGGTAAAAAAAAGCTCACTACAAAGACTTTCTTTTACCCCCATTTCCCCCCTAAACAGTAGACATTACTTTGCATACATAGCACACTCGACATATGACACACCTCATACTCTTTGAATGCATCATTAAGTAAGGCTCCAGGTTCCATAGATCCAATCCTCAGAACAGCTAAGGACTGACCTGCAATAATAAATAGTGGCTATTCCATGAAAAAAACAAGATTTTTCAACATCTATATTTATAAACGTCCCTGGTGTTCACACAAAGTTACGGTATCTGTAGCTGTATACTTTCAATTAGCAATTTCTACCACTGTATATGCAAATGCATACACCATGAAAACAGGGATTCACCCACATGTTTTTGTGGTTATAAGGGTGAATTACATGTAGGTATACTCTGAAAAAACCTGCAAGCCAACAAAGTAGGGTTTTCTGACACAGACAATGACCAAGAAGAAAAAGGTTACTTTGCTAGCCCCTTGAAACTAATAATACTCTTACTTTCCCAGTGTAAACTATATTAGCGCACATAATTGCTGGTTATTATTGGCCATAAATGTACCCAGTTAAATCGGGTATAGCAAATACATACAGTTACATAGTTAGGGTATGCAACATTTTAAGTGGTGTACGCATTACATACCAATGTTTTACAAGGAAAAACCTGCAACACCAATTGTGCATGTGCTACGTATTACTAAGCGCATGCAAGCACATGCCCACTGCACAGGGATCCAAAATAGGATACCCGCCTTGTTCCACCAAGTTGAAAGTGCGCTCACTACGCCCTAGGTGCAGATCCTTCCTGTGGATTGTTGCCTAGAAGTCTGCATACCACAACAAAAGTGTGAAATAATATGTTCTTAGTGTGTGTATATAGTTCTGTTGTGATCCATCCTTTTTCGTAAGGTAATAAAGAGGAGTCCGTGCTAGCTGTTACTCAAAACTACTGTTTATCTCATGTTAACTACACAGCTCACGCTTTCCATGAAGAAAAAAGAACACGAGAGAGAGAGACAGACAGAGAAGGTTGCTCGGGAGGAATGCAACAGCCACTTCTGGAAGTTCACCAAGAACATGTTGGGGAAAGGCTGTATGGCACAGACATCTCCAGCCTTCACGGCTAGCACGGCACACTCCTTCACTGAGGTCTATGAGTCATCTCCTCATCTCTTCAGCTCTCCATCTTGGATGCCTTCTGCTCCTTTTCCAAAACCTAACAGCGCCATGGAGATGACTCCCATCTCCGAGGAGGAGCTGGCCCATGTTATCAGTCAAGTCTAAACCACCCTCTGCACCTTCACCTGTGGACCGCATCCCCTACCTAATTTTCAAGAAATGCCCCTCTCTGGGAACTGCCATTCTATACCTCTTTAACAGAGAAATCATGGAGGGCAGTGTTCCATTGTCGTGGACGGTGGTGGTTATCAAGCTTATCCCTAAGAGCTCTGCACAGGAGGATCCATCGTCTCCTGGCAACTTTCGGCCAATTGCACTCACCCCAGTGGTGAGAAAGTTTCTCTCAGGGATTCTGTAGGACAGGTGGCTTAGGCATATGAGCGCCAATGGCTACCTGGACTGAGATCTTCAGAAGGCATTCCCCCCTACAACTCCTGGGGTGGTGGAGCACCAGGCCAAGCTAGCAGCTGTCATCAGATCAGCCCGGCAGCAGAAACGCTCCCTAGATGTAGCATGGCACGACATCGCCAATGCATATGGTAGCATCCACCACTCTCTCATCCAGTTTTCCCTGGCACACTACCATGCTCCTCCAGAGTTGTTGCAGTCATGGTACTCCGGCCTGTCTGGTACCATCTCAACAGATGCGTGGTCGACAGATCCGGTCCCTCTAAGGGAGGATGACTGACAGTACGTAGAAGCACAATGATGACTTGTGTCCCCTGTGTGGTGAGAGGCAGACTCTGATTCATGTCCTCAACACATGCAAAGCTGCCCGTGATGGACGAAGATTCAATGCCCGCCATGATGCCATTCTTGCGGAAATCGCTTCCCTCCTGTCAGCCCATATTTCCCCACCTGCCAAGCTGTGTGCTGACCTGGGATCCTACACATTTCCTCAGCGTATTGTGGCCACTGATCTACACCCTGACATCGTATGGTGGGATGACTCACTGCGGAGGATTGTGCTCATCGAGCTCACTATCTGCTTCGAGACCTCCTTCCACCATGCAGCAAAGCGTAAAGAGCTGAAGTACGAAAATATGATAGCAAGGGCCAGGTCAGCTGGGTACAGTGGTCGCCTGATTACCCTCCAAGTGGGATCGAGAGGAATTGTTGACCAGGCCGGCTTTTCACATCTCAAGCATGATCTCAACATCGGTAAGCGGGTCCTTACACTCGCATCAGCTACCTAGTGATCCAGGAATCATTCAAGATCTGGTGTCGGAGAAACGCCAAACTAACTTAGTCGCCCGCTCTTCCTCTTTTAGTAGCTCATTTATCTTTTTTTTTAGCCTGAGGAGGGCAGTACAGTGTATTTGTAGTGCACTTTGGCAGGTTTCTCTACGTACTGTCAGTCATCCTCCCTTTTTGTGTATGGTGTATGCCACTCAAGAAGGTTTTATATATATGAGAGAGAGATATGCTCGATCAGTTGCAACGGATGTCAGGGAGGGGAGGAGGAGTCACTATCACAAGCAGTTTGCGAGGTGCGTGGGGGAACTGTTTGACAAAGGACCATCAAGCAACATCACACCGGATTTTGATGCATAGAAGGCCCATCACTTTGTCTCCACAGTCTACCAGTCTGGTCCCAAGAGCTGCCAAACCAGCCTGTCTGCCTTCTCCAACACGACCTGAGGTGCAAATGGATTGCTCTCCCTTCACTGCCTCTGAGATTGCGAGGGTCATCAAGAAGATAAAATCTTCCTCGGCTCCACCTCCATTTGATACGATAGGGTACATGAAATGCTTATTCCTGCACTGGTCGACATCTTCAATGTCTGTTGCGCCCAATCATCAGTGCTCCATCAATGGAAGACGGCAGCAATCAGGCTTATTGCAAAGGAATCAGCAGCTGAGGATGCCACAAAGCTGAGCAACTTCAGACCCATTGCACTCATGCCATGTATTGGCAAGGTTTTAACCACCCTCCTACGTGGCTGAAGTTCATGCGGCAGAACAAGTACTTCGACACGTTACTCCAGAACGCTTTCATGCCCTATATCCCTGGGTGTACTGAGTAGGCCTGTGCGGATTATTCCTTGTTTTTGCCCTATTAGTCTTTTCCACAATTCCTATGAAAGCTCCCATTATTCCCACACAATTCTCCCTATTATTCTCAAGAAAATGTATCAGATTGTAGTGTAGTCTCTGTAGCTAACTATATGGCGTGCTTTGAAGAACACTCGTGGGGAACTCGGCAATCTTTCTAGCAGTGCCAATCTCAGACTGAGCCTCAATTGCTTTGGCGACCACAGTTTCTTCACCTCCACAGTAATTGGTATCTAGCCCCCATGCAGAAACATGCCTGCTTGCCCCGCCCCCTCAGCTAGGAAGCAGCCTATTATTCCGGAATTATTCCTGCTTATCTGCACTGCCTATTATTCCCAAAATTATTCCGGAATAATCTGCACAGGCCTAGTACTGAGCACCAGTTAAAGCTCAGTTCAATCCCAAGCGAGGCTCAGAGCAAGCACAAGGCTTTGGCGGTGTGTTGCCTGGATTTTGCTAATGTATAAGGCAGTCACTGATCCAGTTGTCCCTCTAACTCTACCACGTTCCGCTCCAATTTCTCTCCATTCTCTAGGCTCTCTACAGTGGTCTCAAGGCCACAGTCATCACAGAGATTAGGAGACTACTCTCGTCTTCCTGCAGAAGGGGATGTACCAAGGCGAACCTCTGTCAGTAGTCATAATATTCAACACGGTGGTGAACACTCTCGCTAACACCATCTGCACCCACACGACCTTGGGTACCAGTTCTCAGGCTCCCTCCGGCACGTCAACATCCTGCAGTATACAGATGACACGTGTCTTGTGGCCAACTCCCCAGCCTCCTATCAGTACTTGTTGTCAAAGGTGGGAGACTGGCTGGATAGGACAGGGATCACTGTGAAGGTGCCAAAGTGCCACACTCATAGGAGGGTTCCACTGGAGAGCTAAAGGATTATCATCTCCACCTACATGGTGCTTCCATCCCCTTCACCAAGGATCAAGTTCGTGTTCTGGGCTTGAATGTCCAGGTCGCCAGCCACCATGTCTCCTCCAGATCTAGCATCATCGCCAGACTCCAGGACATGCTGACATCAGTAAACAACGCTCCATTGACAAGGCGTCAGAGGCTGCACTTGTACTCGGCAGGAGTGTGTCCTCGTCTATCCTGGCCTCTCCTGACTCAGGAGTTCCCCATCACCTGGGTGGAGAGGGAGCTTGACTCCCAGGCCACACACCACATCAAGCACTGGGCGGGTCTCAAGTCAGCGAGCATAGCCATTCTCTATCGCCCTTACTCAATGGGTTGCCAATCTTCCTCGCCTGTCAACTGTCTACAAGAAATTTCGCCAGACCCAGCTCCTGACACCGAGAGACGGCTGTGTACGTTATCTGGCAGAAAGAAATCTGAGGCGTGAGCAGAGTCTGTCCAGAAATATGTTTCGACCCGCTACGCTGGCAAGAGAGGTTCTGGAGGTGAGGCCAGATGGGGAGAGAAAGCAGCCAAGACTCCTGTTGCTGAGGACACCAACACTGGATGGGTTTGGAGCAGAAGGAGCACATGAGTCGGTGTGTGGACCAGGAATGCGCTAGTGTGTGGTCAGTGGTGGTGAAGGCCCTTCCTGAGGAGGTAATGAAGTTTGCCCTCAATGCAGCCCTTGACGTGCTGCCTTACAACCACAACCTCCACCTATGGAAGAAGTCAAGCCCTCCCTGCACCCTCTGTGGTGAGAACCAGTCTCTTCTGCACTTCCTCAATGAAAAGCACTAAAGTGCAAACCCTCGGCGAACTGCGCATGTGCGGTACCACTAATTGATGGGCTGGGCTTTTAATGCCTGTGGTATCCCGCTAGTAGCTCGTGGAGAGTCTGGCATGGGCTAGCTACAGTAGTAAATAGCATGCGGGAGTCGATACATGCCCTTCGTTGTGACTTGTTGTGCCTTCAAGACACACAGAGCGAGCGGACGCAGTCGAGGTAAGCCTGTGCTAATTTACATATTGGCTTGTTCACTTGGTTACACAGTAGTTTTACGAAAATCGCCTTTTTAAAAATCAACCCAGTGTAGCACTGATCCCGATCATATCGCTATTTACCTGATTTCGTGCGCCCGGTGGAAGAAAACGTGGTAACAGACAGACTGACAGACGGACAGACACACTTACGGGACAACTACCGTAACCCTCGCTGCGCATGCGCGCCAAGGGTTAATAACTGCTGTTCAGGAATGAACCTACTCCGCTACAACGATCACGACGACCTTGTCCTGCAAGAGATTGCATCCGCCATCAAGCCGTACCTTCCACTCACAACATCCAAGTCAGTGGACATTAACGACGGGTACCATTTCCCATGTCACATCGTGCCCACTGACTTGCGACCAGATATTGTGTGGTGGGACCCCAGCTCCATGTCTGTTTGCTTGAATGTCTGCTTTGAGACGAACTTTGATGATGCTGCAGACAGAAGACAGCTAAGTACACAGACTTGGTGCAGCAGCCAATGGGGGAATGGCTACAGGGCAACTCTTCTAACGCTCCAAGTGGGCTCGAGGGGCGTACCCCATTACCACAGTTTTCAGCACTAGCCAGAGTCCTGGATAAGACAAACAAGGACTTCATGACTCCTATCACCAACACGACCAAGGCAGCCATACAGGGCTCATTCAAGATCTGGTGTTCCCGGAATAAATCATGTTAGTGTGTATTCACTCTTTGTTTGCAGTCTAGTGTATGTGCTTACTGTTTGGTTTGTATCGTGTCTGTGGGGCCATGTCATTGTGCGACTTTGCTAGACAATAAATTCACGCACTCCTCATTTGTATTTATATGCATACAAATGCAATGAAGTTGTTTTTATACACAACTTCATTAGGTTCATTGCTGAGAGAGAGGCCAATTGCCCTGACACCCTGTGTTGGCAAGCTGTTTTCCACTGTCCTACGGAATCGTTGGCTGAGGTACATGGTCACCAACAAGTACCTCAACAGTTCGCTTCAGAAGGCTTTCATACCAACTGTGCTTGGTTTAACGGAGCATCATCTGAAGCTGTCGTCAATCTTGGCAGAGGCTCACTCCAACCGCAAATCTGTGGGAGTTTGCTGCTTGGATTTGGCCAATGCCTATGGCAGCATACACCACTCTCTGGCTGACTTTTCTCTAAATCACTACCATACTCTGCTTCAATTCCTTGTTACTGCCTATACACAGGGCTATAAGCAAAGGTCATCATCGCTGAGTGGAAAACTCCAGTCATCTCTCTTCAAAAGGGGGTGTACCAGGGGGACCCTCTCTAAGTGGTGATCTTCAACACGGTCATGAAAACTCTTCTGGACACAGTATCCATCCAGACTTACCTCAGCTACCAGTTCCCCAACTCTCGTCACTCGGTCAAACGCGGATGACAGTTGCCTGGTTGCCAACTCGCCAGCCTCCTGCCAGTATCTGCTCGATACCACTTCAAACTCGCTACAGTGGTCAGCTAAGGTACGCAAGTGTGCTTCTCTTTGCAGGGCTCTTCGGGGAAACTAGTTGAACCCACCTCTCTCTGAATGGGATGCTGTCCACTGGGCCTTGGGCATGGAAGTCCAGGTTCCAAAGTACAGCTCTGCTGCAAGAGAGGCTGCCTTGACAAGGCTCCAGGAGATGCTCCAGGCCATCGATGAGTCATTGCTGACGAGGAAGCAGAAGCTGCTGCTCTATTCTGGAGGGGTGTCCATGCCTGTCCTGGCTGCTTTTCACCCAAGAGTTTCCCACCACCTGCATGGAACAGCAGGTTGACTCTCTGGTTACAGGGTACCTGAAGAGGTGGTCTGGGCTTGGAAAATCAGCGAATACAGCTCTCCTCTACCTCCCCCACTCGTTGGATGGCCCGAACCTTCCCTCTCCCTCCACCCTCCACAAAAGGCTACAGGTCTCCCGACAATGTCAGCTCCTCACCTCTCAGGACTCCTGCGTGCGGTTCCTGGCTGAGCGTGGCCTCAAGCAAGAGCTCTCTTTGGCCAGCAATAAGTTCAGACCCGCTATGTTACTGTTACTCTTGAAGATGACTCATCTCATCTTGACAATCTATGGAGCCTAGAGAGGCAAGGCCAGTTGAGTAGGTGTACTAGCCCCAGCTGTGCCCCCATCCGGTCGCGTGTTTTGCTAGCACTGCCATAGGACCAACTAAAGTTCGGCATCAATGCAGCGGTGGATGTACTCCCTCACAATGTGAACCTCTACCCCTGGAAGAAGAGGAAGGATCCATCTTGCCCTCTCTGCCACGAGAACCCGTCAATACTACACGTTCTCAACAACAGCAGTGTGGCTAGGGACTCTAGGAGGTACAGGTATGTAAGGCAATATTCGATCCTGAGTGCAATCTCTGAAACAGTGAGATGCAACATCACTCAGACAACAATGACTGCTGACATCAGCAACACCTACGAATTTCCACTTCTCATCATCCCCACAGACCTACGGCCTAACTTGGTGTGGTGGGATGAGGCACATAAGTCAATCACCCTGGTGGAGTTGACTGTGCTTTGAGACCAACTTTGAAGAGGACAGACAGCGAAGTGCCTACACCTCGTAGATCAGGCCGAGGCTAGAAGGTACAGGTCAGAGCTGATCACAGGACAGGTCGGCTCTTGTGGGGTCCCTGACCTTCTCGGTTTCGAGAACACTGCAGAAAGTCTCTCTCTCCAACATAATCAAATCAAAGGAACAAATCACCATAATAGCTCTGTGTATGTATTTATGTCCCTAGCTTGTCAATGTATTGTCTTTGTGGATCCATGTGATTGTGCGGTGGTTTTCTACATCACTTAGATAATTGGTCTTGACCACTCCTCATTTCGTAACTATGTCACAATGAGGATATTTCACACACGAGAGAAAGAGAGGGAGGGAGGGAGGGAGAGGCCATGTCGTTACAAACTGCCAGGTTGCAATGGTACTTAGGAAGTATGTACAGTCAGAGGCATGATGAGGTCCTCAAGGTCTTTGGGGACTTCATCAGGCCTCTCTATCTCCTAACTTTTCTCTTACTATTGACCACCCGACACAAGTATACAACTTCCCCCACCACATCACACCAACCAACAGGAACTCTGTCACATGATGGCTTCCCGCCCCCCTCCCCCTTCCCTCTCCATACTCTTTTCCACAGCACCTAAACTATTGTGTTTCTTGTTTTGTTTTATATTCATGTTTACGAGTCTAGGCGTCTATAGGCACAACATGGTTGTCACATGTTTAGGCTTTCACCTAGTGACCGCACCCCTCTTTGTGCCCCTTAAAATAAGAAGTTTACACCAAGAGAGAGAAAGAGAGAGAGAGAGAGAGAGGGCTCCTAAATGGCTTCACACCTACATTAAATACATTAACACCACCCAAAGCTCAGACATAGGACTATACATGCGTGGCCATCATCCCACTGTACTAATGTATCATATACACTAGGTCATCCCTGTCTTGTCGCCCCGCTTTTTATGGCATCCCTATATTCCACACTTTTTTAATTCGCAGAATTTTTTATTTACTTGTCTCCTTTCCTTTTTTTACGGCATGCACATGCATTGGGGCATAAAGTAACATGTATTTATTACCTCGGACTGTTAGTCGTCATCTACATTTTTATTTCAGTTCCAAAGTAGATAAGTGTAAAAAGTTATAGGAAAAACAGATTGTTAATTGCCTGAGGCTGTTTGTTGTTGTTTACAAACTTGTAATTCATGTTTCAATGAACTCTTATCATAGCAAATCAGTGTACCAAATTTCATAGTTAGAGGACCCACAATAAGCAAGTTACAGGCACAAACATCATTTACAAGTATTCATTGCCTGAGGTTGTTTGTTGTTGTTTACAAACTTGTAATTTATGTTTCGACGAACTCTCATCGTTGTAAATCAGTGTACCAAGTTTCGTTGTTAGAGGACCCACAATATGCAAGTTATAGGCACAAACATCATTTTATTGCCTGAGGCTGATTGTTGTTGTTTACATTGTGATCACTCTGGGTATTAGCTTTACCCAGTTAGCCCACTTTATTTGTCTTAATAATAATGTATTGCCTGGGGCTATTTGTTGTTGTTTACATGTAAACAAAATTGTTTACGAACAAATAAAAATGCTCTTGCACGACCTGTCATGGATTCCAATCTTTGTGCAAAGTTTGATCTCCATATCTTACCTGGTTTTTGAGATACACTTGTTGAAACTGAACAACAACATCCCTATATACTAAGTACTACCGTACTTAGTGATAGGGATTGGCATGGTACCTAGCATTAACACTAAGTACGGTAGTACTTAGTATATTGGGATGACACAGGTTGTCCTGCATTATGCCCATACATTGAGATTTTCGGGTTTCACTTTCTATTTCAATCAGATCCAACTTTTGATACATCAGACTAATTTGTATTGTCACTTTTCAATTTTCTTTTTCTCTTCTTCTTCTTCTTGTTGTTGTTGTTCAGTTTCAACAAGCGTATCTCAAAAACCAGTTAAGATATGGAGATCAAACTTTGCACAAAGATTGGAATCCATGACAGGTCGTGCAAGAGCATTTTAATTGTTTCGTAAACAACAACAAATAGCCCCAGGCAATACATTATTATAGAGACAAATAGAGTGGGCTAACTGGGTAAAGCTAATACCCAGAGTGATAAAACTTTGTACACATATACAACCCATCACTAGTATCAAAATGTAAACATTACAAGTTTGTAAACAGCAACAAACAGCCTCAGGCAATAAAAACATGTAAAATGCGTTTGTGCGTACAACTTGCTTATGGTGGGTCCTCTAACAATGAAACTTAGTACACTGATGTACCATGATGAGAGTTCATCGAAACAGAAATTACAAGTTTTTAAACAACAACAAACAGCCTCAGGCAATAAAACCTTGTAAACTATATTACTGCCTATAACTTGCTTATGGTGGGACCTATAACAATGAAAAATTGGTACACTGATGTTCCATGATAAGAGTTCATCGAAACATAAATTACAAGTTTGTAAACAACAAACAGCCTCAGGCAATAAAAACTTGTAAACTATATTACTTGCTTATGGTGGGACCTCTAACAATGAAAATTGGTACACTGCATGTTCCATGATGAGAGTGTTCATCATAACAGGAATTACAAGTTAGTACACAACAACAAACAGCCTCAGGCAATGAATACTTGTAAATGATGTTTGTGCCTATAACTTGCTTATGGTGGGTCCTCTGTACCATGGTGAGAGTTCATCGAAACAGAAATAACAAGTTTGTAAACAACAACAAACAGCCTCAGGCATTAAATATTTGTAAATGGTGTTTGTGTCACTTTGGAAGTGAAATTAAAATGTAGATGACGACTAACAGTCCGAGGCAATAAATACATGTTACTTTTTATATGGACATTATGCCCCAATGCATCCCAATGCATGTGCATGCCGGAAAGGAGACAAGTAAATAAAAAATTCTGCGAATTAAAAAAAGTGTAAAATATAGGGATGCCATAAAAAGCAAGGAGACAAGACAGGGATGACCAGGGCATGTGATGTAGAGTACAATGGGATGATTGTTACATCTTCAAACTGACATTTCTTGCTCATGTAAATTTTACTCCACACAAGTCCTATATTGTCGCCACTCTTACTCATGACATGAGTTTTGAATAATGTAGTGTGAAGACCGGCAAACGAATTCTGTAGGGAAAGCAGCATTGTCAAACCGGTTCGTTGAGCGAACATTGAAGTAAACACTGTCACGATTCAATTTGAGGACCTGTCAGAGAGGGCATTTGCTACCAGTCTTACATGCATAGGAAACGAGTCATAGCTGCACATCATACCGTAGAGATCACTCGTGCTTTGTGACAATATAGGGCTTGTGTGGAGTAAAATTTACATGAGCAAGAAATGTCAGTTTGAAGATGTAACAATCATCCCATTGTACTCTACATCACATGCCCTGGTCATCCCTGTCTTGTCTCCTTGCTTTTTATGGCATCCCTATATTCCACACTTTTTTAATTCGCAGAATTTTTTATTTACTTGTAGATGTATGGGGCTATGATAGGGAGTTTTGTTCATCATCTTCTTCTTCTGTTCAACCAGCATAACTCAAAAACCGAAAGAGATAAAGCCATGAAATTTTGCACGAATGTACATAACATGTGCAACGTCATACTTTTTTGGTTTGTAAACAATGTTGTTTACTGTAAACAACAACAAAAGTGCCCCAGGCAATACATTATAATGGGCATACTAGATGTGTCAGTGTAACTCACAATTGGTATGAGCTACATGAAAGAAACTTTGTAGACATAATGTATTCAATCACCAACATTAAAATCACAACAATACATGTTTGTAAACAACAACAAATAGCCTCAGGCACTTTTCTTTTAATTTACTTCTTCACTCTTCAAACTTTCCAATGGTAGCAAGCATAGAGATGAAACTTGGTATGTATGCCTATTATATCATTTCCATGACGATTACATGTTTCCATGACGACTGCATATTGTTTGGAAAAGCTTCAGGCAATTCTCTTTCAAACTCCTCAAACTTGCTAGTACCGCGCGTGCGCAGTTCCCCGAGGGTTTGCACTTCAGTGCTTTTCATTCCATAATGAGTACATGTTTGTCGCATATTTGTTAAATATTTCAACGACGAGTACATGTTTGTAAACAACAAAAAATTCCCTCAGGCACTTTGGGTTCAGTGGTACACTGGCTTGTTTTGGAAAAAGGCGATTTTCATACAAATTCTGCATTTGAAGTCATGGCGTGAAGACCAAGTTAACAAGCCTATATGCTAATTAGCACAGGCTTACCTTGACCCGGTCCGCTTGCTCTGTGTATCTTGAACGCAAAAGAAGTTACAACATAGGGCGTGTATTGACTCACGCATGCTAAATAGTGTAACTAGCCCGTGTCAGACTCTCCGCGAGCTTATAGTGGAAGACCATGAGTAAACGCATACTAATATAGCCCAGCCCATCAATTAGCTGTACTGCGCATGCGCAGTTCGCCATGGGTTTGCACTTTAGTGCTTTTCATATTTAGTTTGATGTTGGGCACCATTGGTGATCCCAGTGTGCTTCTATATGCAAAAGTGAGACTATACTGTGCCATAGCACAGTTGTTTGAGGTTTGGCTTTGTCTGTGTTCTATTGTGTTGTAGATTCTAACCCCTTCCATCTGAGTTGCCCTGGTTTTTCAGTTGGTAGACCATTCGCCTACACTGCAGAGTGTCGTGGGTTCGATTTCCACCCATTGTAGCTCTTTTTTCCTTGGAGAAAAGAGTTGTCGGCCTTTGCTTTGCTTTGACATGCATAATATTCTTAGTTTGGAGTTGGGTTGGCGGTTTAATTACCCTCCTACAGTACATGCTAAAGTGAGAGCGTACTGTGTGGTGGAGATGAAACTTGGTACGCATGCATGTAACATCATTTCCATGACAACCACTTCGTTTGCACAACAACATTGATGGGCTGGGCTTTTAGTATGTGTTTACTCGTGGTATCCACGCTAGTAGCTCGCGGAGAGTCTGACACGGACTAGCTACAGTAGTAAATAGCATGCGGGAGTCGATACACGCCCTTCATTGTGACCTCTTACGCCTTCAAGATACACAGAGCAAGCGGCCCGGTCGAGGTAAGTTTGTGCTAATTAGCATTATAACCGCATGCGCATTAGCCGTACAATGCTGGAGGGCTGTAGCTCATCAACGGAGCATTTTTCAGAGAAAACCGCTCATAATTTCTGACCTTCATTGCCCGTTGAGTTCGTCGCATCGTTTGTGAGACGAACAAACACTCGAGAAGTGAGATGTCGAGTAACAGACCGACACAAACACACACACACACTGTAACCCTCGCTGCGCATGCGCGCCGAGGGTTAAATATGGAATATATACCAAGTTTTATCCCCATGTAAGCAAGGGAAGAAGTAACTTCACCTTGAGGCTATTCAAACAGCATTTGGTCATATCAAAAATTGTATCCTGCGTACAAAGTTAAATCTCCATATGTGCTACCATTAGCAATTTTGAGGAGTGAAGAAGCACCAGAGGCTATTTGCTATTGTTCAAATAAGATTCGGTCGTCATAGAAATGATGTAATATGCACGCATACCAAGTTTCGTCTCCAGTCGTGCTAGTGTTAGAAAGTTTGAGTAGTGAAGAAGTAACCCTCCTGAGGCTATTTATTATTGCTGTTTACAAACATGCATTGTTCTGTTTTGATGCTGGTGATCAAATACATTATGCATAGAAAAGTTTCATACACAATGTTCTTACCCTTTGTGACTAACACATGTGCGCCCTTTGCCTGAGGATATTGTTGTTAACCCTCAGCGCGCATGCGCAGCGCGGGTACTTGGTGCGTGAGTGTGTCTGTCTGTCTGTTACCACGTTTTCTGCGACCACGCGCAAGATATCAATAGGTTCAGTGCTACACTGGCTTGATTTTTAAACAAGATTTAAAGATACTGAATTTTGGCATAAAAACAAGTGAACACGCCAATATGCTAATTAGCATGGCTTACCTCGACCGGGTCCGCTTGTTCTGTGTACTTTGGAGGTCACAACAAACGGGGTGTATCGACTTCCACATGCTATCTACCACTTTAGCTAGCTGTCAGACTCTCTGCAATGTACTAGCGTGGAAACCACGAATAAACGCATACTCTCGGCCTAACCCATCAATTTCTGGTACCGTGCATGCGCAGTTTGCCGAGGGTTTTTCATTGTTTACAGTAAACAATATTGTTTAATAACAATTAAGTATGACCATGCACATCCAGTTAAGGATACACATAATTTCACGGCTTTTTTTTTATTATGCGTGTCTAATCTGAAGAAGAGGAAAAAGAAGATGATGAACAAAATTCACCATCATAACCCCATACATCTATATGCTAGGTAACATGGACATCCCTATACTAAGTACTACCGTAATTAAGTGATATGCATGTCAGCATCAAGGTATATAAAAAGCAAGGCAATGGCAAATAAATCAAATGAACACCCAAGACAACTCTTTTCTTCCAAGGCAGAATAAAAGTGCTGTCCTGGGTGGGATTCGAATCCATGACACTCTGCAGTCTAGGCAAGCGATCTACTAACTGAGTTACAAGTGCAACTCAGCTGGTAGAGGTTCGAATCTACAACACAATAGAAAGGCAAACCTCGAACAACTGCACATAATACAGACCACTGTAACTTTAGCATGTAGAAGCAGACCTGGTACCAATCACTAAACTCTAAACTAGGTATGTATATGCATGTCAACAATGAGGTCTCAAGTGCAAAGCAAAGGAAAACAAATTAACTACACCCAGGGCATGCACAGTGCCCGTGGGCCTCTTGCCGGCTTGCTCAGAGTCTGTCATGGGCCTATCCAAACTATTAGATAGAATGTGGATACTCCCCGTTCGTTGCAACTTCCGATGCCTTGGCGGTATGCAGAACAAGCAGATGTGGTCAAAGTGAGCCTGTGCTAATTTCCATATTGGCTTGTTTTTCACGCAATGTAAATGCGGAAAGTGTATCACTGAGCTGTTTAGTAGTGCTCTATTGTATGGTTGCGCATGGTGGCAGAAAACATGGTAAAACAGACAGACACAGAGACACACGGAACACACACACTCACGAACCAAGTACCATAACCTTCGCGGCACATACGCGGCGAAGGTTAATTATTCATTTAAAACACTGACTTATAGGCTTTGCGACATCTAATCATCAATTTGTGGTTTCATACAATTATTAGAGTATAGTGAGGAATCAACATACTTGTAACTCGATGTATAAACTCAGAAGTAGTGTTGGATACTAATCTCAAGCCATCTACCTCTGGCTGCAAACAGCATCCTAGTTTTCCCGGATACCTCCGAGAATCATAGAAGAGGGTAAGGATATGAACTAACCCATTAACAAATGCTCACTTGCACCAATGTTTCCCAAATCCCTTGACAAATATGAGCTTTTCCATCACAAGAACAAAGAAATCTTTTGCACCCCTGTAATAAATTTATCATCACAAGCTACAAGGTGAATGGAAAGGTAGTACCATTCCATTGCAAGCACTTTAGCTGTTGACTGGAGATCCATCTCTGTTTCACATGTCTGTATACACAAAGTGTAAGGTATAACATCTAACACTATATAGAATTAATCAATGGTTCGTGACCATACACAGGTTACCTTAAAGTCCGACGTTCCACCCCACAAATAGCCTCCTTTATCCACAAGTGCTACAGCCTTGCCATCAACTGACACAGCAATTTCAGCCCAGTACACACTTGGGTCTTTTTTGCTTGTTAATACTGACTGAAAATGTGAATTTCAAAAAAATGAATGGGATTAAGGTACTACTACGTACATAGATAGCTAATACAGTGTTTAACGGGTGTGTGCACCTGTAAAGCGATTATTATGCATACCCATGTTCTAATCTTCAAATCTACGTATATTATGCTATTTCAAAATGTGCAGAAAGCTACGTATGCACAAATTGATCTTGTAATTTTTCACATGTAATATTTTTCCCATAGAGAAGTAGGGACTAATTGAGGTAATAAAATCACCCTGTTGCTACACACAGAAAAAGAACCATAAGCATGCAAGTGGAGGATAAAACAGTCACTGGGTCACCAATACACGATTTTACACTCCCCACAGCACAAAAGCCTTAACCTGAGCCTTCGAAAAATATTCATGACTTATATCAAATTGTAATAACGCAAACACCATTGGAATCCTTGCAATTTTCCAGTTCTGATATTCACAAAAGTAAAGCCTTTTTAGTCAAAAGTTAGCTGTATCTCCTTCAGTAAGTGTAAGTACGTACATAGAGTGCCTCTAGTCTTGTGGCTATGCAAATGTTTGGCTTGCTGCAAAAAAGTACCATGGGCTACCTTGTTATTGCGTACTAAACAACTTTAATGCAAAGTTCTTCACACTCCCATCGTTAGCATTGTCACAAAACGTACATGCATACCGTACAAAAAGCACTCTAGTACGTAGCTCCCGATAGTCATGCTAGCAACACTAGTAGGTAGCATACAGGACAATCCGTTGTAACTTCTTGCGCCCCAAAGGTACACACAGCAAGCAGATGATAGGTCAAGACAGACCAATGCAATGATCAGGGTCTGCAAGGGGACCCTCATATCCAAAGAAACATTGGAAGCAATACTGATCCAAGAAAAAAGTGGCTCTACTGCAGAGAATAGGTCTCTAGGAGGCACATGCAGAGGAGCAAGCGGCTGACCACAACCGCTTTACCTCCAGTGGGAAAGTTACTGGTAGCTGGAGTTACACACAGGCACCGCGTTTCGAAACAGGTGCAGGTGGATGCGCATATTCGGGCTAAGCCGCTTACTAGTATGACTGAGAAGCCCTGCCGTTTACGCTCTCTCACATCCGACAAGAGATTCCAGGAGGACACTGAAGAGGATACACTCCAGTTGCTGGAGGAGGCTGAAGCTCTTGAGCTGGTGGAATTAACCCCAGTGTCAATCTGATCTGCTCGTCAACAAACAACTGGAATTAGGTTTTTCGAATGTACCAGGAGTGCACTCATGCTAAGGAATTTCGGGACAAGCTCATGGCATGAGATAATATCAGCAGGGTGGAGGAAAGCTTATCAATTAGGCTTAGTTATAAAGTGGTCTAGCTGGTGTGAAAAAAATTTTTTTACATACTAGCATTAAAGTCCAGAGTGGTGAGAAAAGAACCCTTCATGATGGGTTGCATGTGTGCACGGGTAGGCATAGGAAAGCTTTCCCACCAAGATAATTGCCAATAAAGGCAATCAGTCCAGTACATAGCATCATTCAAACCCATAACTTGGCCCTTTGCTAAGCATTCTCGCCACAACAGAGCAATAATATGTAAATGTCAAAACAAGACAATTTTGTCCCAATAACCCAGCTTTATTTCCTTCCAGAGTAGTACAACGCGTACATGCAGCATGCTTGTAAAGGTACTTGAAGGTGGTCTCAAGGGCTATTGATTATTACCAATGCACATCATACAACTATTATACATAAAGGACTAACTTCCATCCGTTAAAGACTTATGCAGCAGAAGGTAGTATGTATGTGTATGTCTAACCTGAGGAATGGCTTCATACTGATCAAGAATATAGAGTTTTTCTTCCACTGAAACTAGTATATTGCATTGTGGGGTGAGAACATTCCAGCAATTCGGACGAACTGTCATTGCTGAAACGATAAATGCTATTCATATCAGAAATAACAACATTCATGTCAAGAATAATAAAGGTTTTATTACAGAGGACATGTTTTAGAGGAGTCTCGCAGCATTTAAAAGTCTGGTCACAAACATTACAACTTTTTCTTGAAACGTCCAAATATCACTAAGTACGGTTATACAAGTAAATTTAAACTCCTGCGAATTTAAAAAAAGAGGCATACTGGGATGGTACAAAAAGAAAGGGAGACAAGGTAGGGATGGGATACATGAAGCGTCGTTAATGAACAGAATTGAGCACGCTGACACTCCCAACCCCCATCACACAATCCCTCTATTGTTGCTTGGTGTGTTACTCTTATACGGAATGTGGCATTATATAAGGGCTGAAGGTTACTAAAAGAAAGCATTCTTTCACCGTCCCCCCATTGTTTTTTAGTAACATTTCTACTTTTACACTGCCCTTTAATTAAACTCTACTTGGACTCTATAACGGTATTCGTTATTAAGTAGCATGACTTTTTTGTATTATAACTTCTATGTTTAATACTTCACCTAGGCTCACTAAGTACGGTAGTACTTAGTATATGTGATAGGCTCTGAGAAAACGACCCTTATCACGCACGTAGTATTGCTGTAGTAGCGGCGGTTTTACGGCGAACTACGTAATTCACCGATTCCCGCTTTTCCCCGTATTCTAGTACCTCTGTCTATCGTCCATAACCTGCGCAAGTTTGACGCACTAACTCCGTTCCGTTCCGTAGTTATGGCCCTGGGTACCAGGCAAGTGCCGTTACTCGTGCCGTTACTCGTGCCGTCGTAACGCGGAATTACAAGTAAACGTAACACGGGAATAATCAAACCTTTTACCGGGTCACGTAAACGGGAATTCCCCTTTACTACGTTTACCTAGCGGCATGCGGCCGGACGCACGCGTGCGCGTAATGTTGTAACACGGACTTGTTGCGAGAATACGGAGGTTGAAATTTAACACCGGAAGTTCACCTTCAGACGCGATTTTTCACGTTAGATGCAGCGGAATGGCACTTGCACTTGTGCTCATAACTTCGCAACGGAACGGGCTACGCCCCTGAAACAAACGGCAAACTATAGAGCATTTATAGGGCTTTCGGTCTAGCATACAAACGTATTTTGCGGTTTTTGCGTCATAAAGGTCGTTTTCTCAAAAACCAGGTAAGATATGGAGATCAAACTTTGCAAAAAGATTGGAATCCATGACAGGTCGTGCAAGAGCATTTTTATTTCTTCATAAAAAATTTGGTTTACATATAAATGAGTGATCTGTATCGTATAATGTGCAGCTATGACTCGTTTTCTATGCACATAAGACTGGTAGCAAATGCTCTCTCTGACAGGTCCTCGGTTTTGAATCGTGACTGTGTTTACTTCAATGTTCGCTCAACTAACAGGTTTTACAATTCTGCTTTCCTTACAGAATTCGATTGCCAGTCTTCACTCTACACTATTCAAAACTCATGTCATGAGTAAGAGTGGCAACAATATAGGACTTGTGTGGAGTAGAATTTACATGAGCAAGAAATGTCTGTTTGAAGATGTAACAATCATCCCATTGTACTACTGCATCTCATGCCAAGGTCATCCCTGTCTTGTCTCCTTGCTTTTTATGGCATCCCTATATTCCACATTTTTTTAATTCGCAGAAATTTTTATTTACTTGTAGGGTTTGTGTGATGGGGTTGGGAGTGTCAGCGTACTAAAATCTGTTCATTAACCATGCTTCATGTATCCCATACCTATTTCGTCTCCCTTTCTTTTTATACCGCCCCTATATGCCTCTTTTTTTTAATTCGCAGGAGGAGACCCATGAAAGTTAATATGATTACATCACACTAAATACGTTTGTTTATGTAAACACAAGATTATATACAACTTACAAGGTAGATCTGCAACTTTCTTAACTCTAATTTCATCTCTAGGACGGCAGGTGTCAGCAACTACAAAAAATTGATAGCAGTTTGTCATCACTGCAAATCCGCCACTGCCTTCCATGGTATGAAAGAACTTGCAATCCAGTACACGGTGCTCACGCACTTCCTACATTGGGATCAAATGTCCTGTTTACAAAGCATCTGCTGTGTCACCTTAAAACTATTTTCACAATGCACAGATAAATAGGACATATACATGTGGTAACCCGTAACCTTTTACACACTGAATGTTTGCATTAAAATGCAAACCCTTGGCACAAAAAACATTGTGTGTCTTGCACAGAAAGCACACGCAAACTTGGTGCCTCACGGTATGAATAACAGGCAAAACTGCTCAAGATAAGTCATTGCTAATTTGTATTCAATTGTGCTTTATCCAATGAAAAGCACTGAAGTGCAAACCCTCGGCGCACGCGTAAGTAAACGCATGCGCCGTACCACTAATTGATGGGCTGGGTTTAGTTTTAGCTGTTACTCGTGGTCTCTTGCCAGCTCGCGCAGAGTCTGACGCGGGCCACGGACCAGTAGCACTAGCCCTTGCGCACTGAGGGTTGATGACTATGTAACTAGTATAACTGTATTAATAGCCCAGCCCATGAATTACGCAGTTATAGGCTATGCAAGGACTGGTAACCTCTAGAAAAGTGTTACTAGCTTGGTGGTGTAAAGTAAATAACTATTCAAAACCTGAGGTAAAATGTAAGTACAGGGCGTAAGTTAGGAAACTAAATGTGCGGCAATAGGATTTGAACTCTTAATTTTAGTCTTTGGGACGACTGCTCAAAAAAGGGAAGATTCAATCCTAGCATTCCTTTGGGGGAGAGCGACAAATCATTACATTCCTCTTTTGAACTAAGAAAGATCCTATTCAGATAGGAGTAAAGCTATACGTTGGAGGTGGAAAAAATTCTTGCGTGTCTATGCCTTGCTAAAGTAATATTGAGCTTCCATATAATTATGCACAAAGACTGTGTGCAGCTTATTAACCCTCATCAAGCAGGCGCAGCGAGGGTTACAATATATAAGTTAGTTACTCCGTTCGAGGGAATTACGGGATTTCAATGAACCCGAGGGCCTCCGCGTTGTAGTGTCCCGAGCGCAACAAGGACGGATAGCACGAGGGTTCATTGAAATCCCGTAGTTCCCGAGTATACGGAGTAACTAACATGTTTAGTGCTGAGCAGACAAATCCGCACACGCACGGCGCCCGTTTCCAGGCGACTGAAATTCGAATGAGCGTGAAGATTCGATTTGTAACCGACTCGAGCGAGGTTTCAGCCACCAGTGGCGAGCCAGAAACGGTAGGCAGAAGCTATATACAGCACCCGCTCGTCGTCCGCCGCGCTTCGCGGAAAAGGGCTCCGCCCACTCTATCCGCGGGCGTGACGTACCGCTAGCGCTAGCATACAGGCGCTTATGTACAGCTAGGCCCAGACTTCTTGTCTCTCTGTGCATACTGTTGAAACTAAAAAAGAATTATTGTAGACGATAAAGCTACATGATTATGTACGTGATCTTGTCATTTTCATGTGAAAATTTTACAAGGTTTACTACGAAGCGTCCCAGGTATACTATGGGAAATCAAGTATATACCTCGTGTGGACCAATCAGATTGCTCGATTTAAACCAGCTACGCAATAAACATAGTTTGTGAGTTTCTCCATCTGCCTGTTTGTCAGTTTCCACGCGCAACGAGACAACAAAATATTGATACCAATAAGTTCATCGCCGAGCTTGCCCTGACCTTATCTACTTGTTGGAGGAACAAGAAGTCACAATGAAGGTCATGTATCAACTCTTGCATGCTACCTACTAGTGCAGGCCCATCCATATCAGACTCTCCGCTAGCTATACTAGTGGAACACATACTGTATTAATAGCCCAGCCCATGAATTAGCGATACTGTTGTGTGCGAGGGTTTGCACTAAGTCCTCTTTTTAATATGGTTGAGCAGGTATTGTAAAAAAATCACGTTAGACAGGTTACGCCCTCTCCTCGGTTATAAGTTGTGACTGCAAGACTAAGAGTTCCACATTTGCTAAACTAACCAGTTTTACAATGCTGCATTCTTTGCCGTCTACAGAACTCCTTTACCATTGTCCAACACTTAAAACCATTCACTAAACAAACTCATGTCAGTGAGTAAAAGTGGCAACAGTATAGGGTATGTGTGGAGGAAACTTTACACGAGCAAGCAATGTCAGTTGAAGTACGTAGCCATCGTTCATTCCACTACAGCATCACATTCACTAGGTCATCCTTGTCTTGTCTCTTTGCTATTCCTATATTTTGTACTTCAAAAGAATTTTTCTATTCACTTGTCTCCTTTCCTGCTTTCACGTGCATAGTGTGCAATAATAATTATGTAATAGTTAGACGACGAGTCATAGGGAACTACTTGGATTTATGAAGCTGGGGCCCTGAGGCTGTGGTGTTCCAAGCGCAGCGAAGACGCTACTACAGCACCCAAGGCTTTTTAAATCGCGTGGTTTCCATGACTCCTTGTCTAACTTTTTTAGAGTGGGGCGTGCGCAAAATATGAAAAAATGTGAAAAAATATACAAAATGTTCCAAAGGCCCTTGGGGGGTGAACATTATCCAATATCGTTCCTCGATAGTATTCCTCGTTGTACTTAGTATTCCTCCTCACTCTACAGAGTAAACTACGTGAACTAGCTTTCTCTTACTTCACCAATCAGATTTGAGTATTTCAAACTGCCGTACTCTAATTCGGGGCATAATGCCCCTACAGAGTAACATTAAGCTATTGCATCAGACGGTTTGTCGTCATTCACATGTTTCTTGTACATCAGTGTACCAGGTTTCATTGTGAGAGGACCCACCAGGAGCAAGTACCATTACTCTTATCATAGAACATCACATATATTTGTGAGCTTTGCATCATACTTACCCTAGATACAGGCCTTGAGTACTTAAGCAGGCCATTGATGCTATATGCAGCCATTGTGCCTTCTTCCAAAATACAGATAAGATCTTCATTACTGTTCCAGCCCATTCCAATAAGCCGTCCACCTTCCCACTACAAAAAGATACAAATCTATTAGCAGGTAATACAGTATTTAGAAAAGTTTCAGAACAATGGAGTAATACGTTCACATCCGAACAATGAAATCATAAAAAGTGCCAACAAAACTGCAACATAATAACCCTTTGGATGCCATGGGTATCTGCTTAAGTATTAGCGCCTAGTATTATAACTCCCATAAATATTTTTACAAATATGGAGGCTCTGGACTCATTTATGTGTCCATGGCTGGTTAAGTGTTAAAAGAGAGTTCCGGTCAAGTACTAGACAATAATGTTAAACACACAGACTATTGTGAATGTTTCAATGTGGAAATCGATTATGGTGGCTGTATGTTGGTGGAATGGTGCACCTACAACAAGTGGTATAAATAATACTTGTCACCTGACAAAAGAACACAAGGATTGTTGTTATATCTTTCCCTAAAACAGTTACTTAAAAATTGCTTGCTCCTGCACATAAGTCCTATAAATGAAGTAGAGGATAATATTCTTACCGGAATTGATGAAATCGGGTTTCCAGCTTGGCTGTATATCAATATAGACTTAGAGTCACCACCACTTTTACTAAGCTTTTGGAGTAGAGCTAAAGAAAGATCATGCCAAGTATATGAACAAAAGAATGAATGCAATGCCTTCTTGGCAGGTAAGTGTGCATATTGAGAAGGTTAAACATTACAGCATGCACTCTGACCGCCACATACAAATGTAGCACTTCAGAATAGCGCATTGTACAGCTGCCGTAGATGCAGTAAGTACAATAACTGTACGAACAACTGAGCGTACAGACGATGATCAACACGACAATACACATGTGCTGACTGACAAAAACGACACACACATCCCCGCCATTAGGAATCTCATCCTCCTGTGTCTTTGGTCCGTTGGCACATGTTAAGTTGTTGGGTACAGACACATGGTGTCTTGCTTCAGCCCTCTCTAGCAACAGCCCCTCTGGCTTCACTACGTGTGTTGGGACTCCTTCCTTCGGTCCAATAGCATCGTGGCATCTCCACCGGACTCTGTGTTGGGTAGTTGTGCACTAGTTCGGGGTGGTTTGACCGCATCGAACCACCTCGAAGCTCATAGATGAGCTCTATTACGAGGCACCACGGCGTGAAGAGCCCTTTTGCATGAGTTCGGAGAGGTTTCGACCGCATTGAACCATGTTGAACCTACTCGAACATCCCCATCACAGAGCCAACTAAGCATGAAGATCCGGGTTGTATTAGTTCAGGGAGGTTCGACAACACTGAAGTTTCTCAAACTGGGGAACATGGTTAGTTGGGTGGTCGCACTCTGTCACTGGCACAAAGCACAGGCTGTAAGGCATGACACGGAATACCTACAAGCCAGCGACTGAACAAAAACTGTGGCTCTATCCACAGCATGGCACAGAGAGGCTCAAAAATCTCTGCACCCATCTCACCAATTGTTTGTGAAAGGGTTAATCATCACACAGAGGAAGTTGACATAATATCAGAAAGTGATAATCACGTACTGATGAGGAGCCCTCAGCTGGAAGTTGTCCTCATCGTCCCGTAGCTGAGTTCTCTCCACATGACTAAGGGAACGCTCCTGCCTGCCACAAACCCTCAATCCAATTGTACTTGCAACTATCACCAACCGACACCTGTCACACCATCAGGTTTGGCTTTTCCCACCATCGTCAGCTATCTCTTCAGCTGGCTGTAGCTCTCCAAGAGTGGTTCCCTCCATCAAAAGGATGGAAATTACTGTGAGATTCCAGAGAATCAATCTTGGAGTGTGGTCGTGCTTAAGGGGATGAACACAAAACATGAAGTGACGTGAGCATTTTAGTTTTCCTCAGCTGCAGAACCCTACACAATACTATTTAATGACAGGGCAATAGCCCTAGCCCCATCCCTTTTAGGCTAGTCTTCAAGTATCGTTGACACTAATGGGTAATTCACCACTACCACCCCTTCCTCACCTTCCCAGCTCTGTTCCATGTTCCAGATGAGAGTTATTAGTAGCACAAACATATGTCCTGTTTCATTAGACTCGCACAACGAGTCCATCAAGAGCTACGTATTAGTTGGTGAAGACAAACTGCTGGTGGCGACGAATACTTCTGGTTTGTTTCTGTAGTTGTCCATCGGAAACTTGTAAGCATTGGTGACAACCGAAACCCAAGGTAATCAGTTCAAAAGAGAAGGTGCTACTTTCTGAACTTCATCACAGCCTGGTGATATTGCCAGCTGTGTAGAGTAGCCAGTATCTGGCCACAGCCCTGCTCTTCAATATCTGCGAAGAGTGATTGCAGCTGACTTCAGTTGACATGTAATCGCCAGCTCTCACTCCATCAGAACCTTTTCCTTACCTCTATGATGGTGGTCTAGGAAATCAGGAGCTTGAAGCCCACGAACACCAAACTCGTAACTCCAGGTTAGGCATTAAATATTGTGAAGAATACGGGCCTTAATGTACAAGTCTAAGGGGGGTAAAATACATTGTCTCTGCCTGTCACTTCATTCGGTGTGGATCCATATATAAAGTGGAACTCATACAACTAGAATTCAGTTGGAGTGAAAGCAAGTGCTTACTACATACCTACGTGCATAGCTGTTTTTGGATTGTAAGTCAGGTGTATCCAGCAACTGTACATTCCGAGGGGGAGGAAACCATGCTAAGCTCTGCAGTGCTAGCTAGAGACCCCATGGTTTTACCTACTCTAGACGGCCATAGTTAGGAAGAGAGAACAGACAGAACATGACGGTGTGAGCATTCGCAAATTACGCCATGTTGGTCTGACCGTTACAGATATATATACATATATATATATATATTATATCGAAAAATTCCGCATTCACACACCAAGGTGGGCTCGCTTCACTCGCCAATCACACCCCAAATTGGTATATTGCGGTCAATAGCCCCATTTCCCTTAGGTGTACAGCAAGAGTCAAAAAACATTTCCAATCTTGTTCAGTTTCTTTCCGCTTGCAGTTCATGATCATACTATTCCGTTATCCCGTGACACGCCCACCGCAAACGCGGTAGCAGGGGAGCGAAACAAGGCCTTTTATTAGCGCAAACGCAAAGCAATGAGAAGGCAGTACCCACGCAGGTGAAAGAAGGAAGATTTTAACAACAAGGCCTTCGCATCCTGCGAATGACTGGCCCGCACGCAAACGCATGTACGGCAACGATACTAAACGGAAAGCAACGAAACGGAACAAATTCCAACACTAAATGAACGGCTTTTCAGGAGGGAACTGAAGCTCAACGAAAAGGAACGAAATTGGAAACTTTTATGGACCCCTACTGTATCAGCAACGTCTTATGGGTGCTATAAGTAAGGGATAATGTGCGTTTAGAGTTCTATACGTGATTTATGGGAATGATGAGGGGTGTGGTCGAGAGACTCATACAGCACGAGGCGCAGCCGAGTGCTGTATGGGTCTCGGGACCACAACCCGAGTTCCCATAAGTCATGTATAGAACGATAGGACGCACATTATGTGTTTTATTGTGACTTCGTAGAAGTCGTCGCCCTCCAGCGAGAGAAATGCGACGGCATAGCATACTTCCCATGCACATGTGCGCACTCGCTAGGTTCTCGAGCGAGTTTCTGTTCTTGAGGTTACTGCAATCGAACAAGGTCGTGATGGTGGCTCTTTCTCCTTCAGAGAAACTCCTTTCATAGGTCGTTGGGCCGTTTGACCGGTCGGTGTGCCGCGGCCACGGTCTCGCTTGCCACAGGGAGCTGCAGGGGGGTGGTCGCCTCAGCCATCCCTCGCCTGTACAGCCTCTACAGAACAGTCATCCCTAGCCTCTAAAGCCTCTACAGAACAGTTTTTGTCTACACTATGTGTACGATGCTGACGATAGTTCAATAATTTTTGTATTGAACGTTCAATATTGGCCATATTGAACGCGTACTACAATACGGGGAATAAAAGTATGCGCGGCACCTTTGATCCACCCACGCAAGTCACAATAACTAACAAGTAAATTAAAAATCCTGCAAATAAAAAAAAAAGGCATATAGGGATCGTATAAAAGGAAAGGGAGACAAGATAGGGATTGGATACATGAAGCATGGTTAATGAACAGATTTGACCCCATCACACAATCCCTATATTGTTGCCTGGTGTGCTACTCTTATAGGGGCTAAAGGTTACTAAAAGCAAGCATTCTTTCACCTTCTCCCTGTTGTTTTTTTAGTAACATTTATACTGCCACATTCCGTTTTAAACTCCACTTGGACTCTATAAGGGTGTTGGTTACTCAGTAGTGTATTGTAAGTTCTGAGTATTGTAATGGTGAGTGTTCAATATTTCACCTAGGCAACAAGATAAGGATTGTGTGATGGGGTTGGGGGTGTCAGCACACTCAAATCTGTTCATTAACCATGCTTCATGTATCCAATCCCTATCTTGTCTCCCTTTCTTTTTATACGATCCCTATATGCCTTTTTTTTAAATTCGAAGGATTTTTAATTTACTTGTCTCCACTCATTTTTATATACTACTACGTATTATCTCTGGAAGGGGGCAATCCCCTATAAAAAATTTTAATAGAGAAAAAAATGCCTGTTGTCGTCACGGAAATAATATGCATACCATGTTTCATCTCCATGTGTGCTGCCGTTAGCAAGTTTGAGGAGTGAAGAAAGGTTCCTAAGGCTATTTGTTGTTGTGGTCGTCATGGAAACGATGTTACACACATGCGTACCAAGTTTCATCTCCATGCATGCTACAGTTAGCAAGTTTGAGGAGTGAAGAAGTTAATTTTAAAGAAAAGTGCCTGAGGCTATTCGTTGTTGTGGACGTCATGGAAACAATGTAATACACATGCGCACCAAGTTTCGCCTCCATGCATGCTACAGTTAGAAAGTTTGAGGAATGAAGAAGTAATGTTAAAGAAAGGTGCCTGAGGCTAATTATTGTTGTAGTTGTCATGGAAACGATGTAATACACATGCGCACCAGTTTCACCTCCATGTGTGCTATAGTTAGCGAGTTTTAGGAGTGAAGAAGTAATTTTAAAGTAAAGTGCCTAAGGCTTTTTGTTGTTGTAGTTGTCATGGAAACGATGTAATACACATGCGCACCAAGTTTCACCTCCATGTGTGCG